GATCGCTCGGACTTTTGTATTTCCTTGAGGTCATTTTTACTGATTTAAAAACAGTTCTCCCACGCATACTTTATCTGTATCCATGACATTTCGTTACACAAATCAAGGAAATCAAGAAATAATTAGAAAGAAAATTCCGATTTTTTTAGCTAGTTCCATGTTTTTTTTTCGCAGCTGTAAGGCTCACTCACCTGAAGAAGTAAATCTCGTGCTTTTTCACACGTGTTGAACAAATCCGTGTCCAAGTGGTAGATCGCACGAGCCAGCCAGTAGTAGGCTTTCTGAAAAACAGTTTAATCGCTAAAAATATCTGAAGAAATTCGTGGGGGGGGGGGGTCCTGGATAGCAGATGTAGGACGATATGCGCGAATAGTAGGCATTAACAAACTCAACATTTCAGAAAAAAAAATAAAGAAATCGCCAAGAACTCTTTTCCTCTCTTTCACGAGATTTTGAAAATGGCACAAATTTGATGTAGAGGTTTGTTCTCCTGGCGTGCCCGTCACGACATGGCATGGGACGACAAAATAAACGCATTTGTTGAGATTCCAGCACCCATCCTAGGCTGCTTCATACTTTGCGCAGCGTCCATCAGCGACCACTAGCGTCCACCAGCGTTCCGAGCGTCCGGCAGCGTCAGCGACTAGGAAAGTATAGATATCGATCTAGCGTCTGCCAGCGTCTACCAGCGTCTACCAGCGTCTCAGCGTCTACCAGCGTCTTAGGGCTAGGAAAGTATAGTGTCCATTTAGCGTCTGCCAGCGTCTACCAGCGACCAGCAGCATCCGGAACTTGTGAGTATCGGGCGATACGAGGGTAGCATAAAGGTGGTAGAGAGTGGGGAGATAGAAGGGTAGCAGACTGTTGGTAGAGAGTATAGTATAGGAGGGTAGCAGGCGGCTGGTATCCTCCTATCGCTCCATATTCTCTACCAGCAGTCTGTTAATGGTCACTTGTGGACAATGGCAGACGCCGGCATCACGCTCCATATTTCTCTCGTCGCTGACGCTGCCGGACGCTCGGAACGCTGGTGGACGCTAATGGTCGCTGATGGACGCTGCTGCAAAGTATGAACGCAGCCTTACGACTGTGGAAACATTCGTCCTTGACATCACATACTGGTGTTGTGATTGCGCCAACGTTCTGCCCGAACCGCATCTTGGGTACGGTAGTTTGAGCAAATGCCTCAAAAAACAATCGCGTCTATGAATCGCGTGCAGGGACACTCTTATACCAGCACACGAAAAAAACAGTAGCGTCCACACAAGCGACCAGACGGCGAAGAGACGGGGCAGAGAGGACGGAAAGTTCACCGACAAAAACGCCAGTCAAAACCGTCCCAGGGCGGAGTTGTCGTAAGGGACGGGCATAGCCAGCGACATACCTGCGCTTTCGCAGGTTCGAGCCATGAAATTTGCACAGTCTCCTCCTGCTACGGGGCAGGCCATCTTATTTGTGGGTTATTCCGCCCGACTGGTCGTAATATGCGACCTTATTGAACACTCATGTTATTTGAATGTTAAACACATAAAAGAGGCGCCAAAATTTATTGCGAAAGACTTGTCGCAGTAAATGGCAGTAAACTAAAGAGGCGCGGCGTTCGCAAGGAGCAGCGGCGGCATATTGGCGGATACTGGAGGCAGCAGACCAGGTCAGAGTCCAGAAGGAGGCACCACTGAAGGCAAGGTTCAGGATTCCGGGTGGAGGTGGCTAACTGTAGTATTTCAGGTCGCTGAAGAAGGTGCTAGGCACCGAAATATTCGAAGAAGAAAGGAAGTTATAAACAATATAAAATTTTTTGTGAAAACTTTTGGATTCTTTTGAATCTTTTGAGTCTTTCGCAATAAATTTTGGCGCCTCTTTTATGTGTTCAACATTCAGATTGCAATGAGGCTCCGGGACAGCACTATTTTAAGACTCATGTTATTGTTTATCCTTCACTCACCGAATCGTTCGGATTCGCCTTCACAGCTTTCTCCAGGTACTCCACGGCAAGTGTATGATTGCCCATGAGGAAATAAACTCGTCCAATATTCACAAGATACCTGAGTACTATTGTAACTATCCTGGGCTTTGTCACTTTAGTAAGTCACTTACGTGGTCGCGTTGGCAGAGATGGCAAGCGCCTTACTGAACCACGACAAGGCTTCTTCCAGTTCACCCTCGATACGAGCGATCACACCACGCATGTAGAATGCATACTCGCTTTGATTTGAACATTGTTCCAACATTTCCTGAAGAAGATTTGTGAATCTCATAATGAATTCAGGCGCTAATAGCTTCAAAGGCGGCACTTGGAGACCAACTTGTACAAAACCGGAACTTCTGTAATGGAGATATCGCAAATAATTGCAGGTCACTTTGCCTTGTCAAACCTACGGAGAGGGTAAGCTGGTTCCAGGTACAAAATGCTGTTCTTCGAAGATGATGCCATCTCAGTTTTGCATAGGTATTCCTTTAAACGCCTCCTACACTGTTAATAGTGCCTAAATTTATCATCGAGAGCTGGTTCACTAAGCGGAGGGAGGTCCGGGCCAAAGTGTGAGTCGCCTCTTCTATAACTATGTACCGCGATGAGATTACTATAAGGCTTTGCAAGCCTTATTCTACTTTTTCCCCAACTCCGGGCTGCTTTGTAGCGGAATTATGGAATATTTTCTGTAACATGGGAAGCAGCGCCCATCTCGTGTGCGCCTCGCTCATTTCGGGTGTGTCTTCTCCATTTGGTCTGTCAACACTTTGCTAACCTTACACCACGTTTTTCCCTAT